AATATCATTGAGCAGAGCCCATCTTAAATTATAAAACAAAAGAATATGTTTTTGATAAACATACGGACCCAANCATTTGCCTAATTCATATAATTAAAATATATTAAACAATTTTATTTTTTATATAATCATATTATACTTATATTATCATTATTCCATTTATAATCACATTAAACAAATAATTTACATAAACAAATTAAATAAACAAACAAAAAAATCAATAATAATTAATATAATAAATTATTAAATTATTTTAAATCATCAAAAATTTTATTTGTAAATATACATATATATATAAATAGATATATAAATCAAATCAATTTTAATTAATCTTAGAGTTCAAACCCAAAGACCTATTTACCTAGTAAATAAAAATATTAGTATTTAACAATTATTTTTAACTAAGCAATTAATTAAATTAAATAAGTAAAAACNAGATATCAGAAAAATCTAATAACATATCACCTCTATAATTTTATTTAAGATAATTATGAAACATTAACCTTACATAAATTTATAACTCTTAATCTTTCGAGAAATNTTATAAATAAATTTAATATTAAATATCCCCTGATACAAAAGGTACAAAAAAACAATTATACTTAAATTATTATTAATTAAGTCCATTCACATTAATAAAATCATTAATTAAAAAATTTAACTATATCAAATACAAAACAAAAAATAATANAATATAATTTTAATTAAAATAAAAAATTACTCAATTAAATAAACTAATTCAATTATATAAAAAATCCTTTTCACTAAAGAAAAATCATCTTATTGTAAATAAAATATTTTTATTAAACTAGGACATTCTTGAAATTATATAATCTAACGACACTTTCCAGTACCACTACTATGTTACGACTTCTCTCATCTTATAAACAAGAATGACGGGCAATTTGTACATATTCCTAATTAAATTCAAACAAAATTATTATATTNTTTTACAATTAAATCCTATTTCATAATTAAAATTAAATCAATTAATCCAAACGTCTAATAATACTAATGTAACTCATCTAATCTCAACTAATCTACACTTTGAGTTGAATTACTATAAGATCTAAATATATCTTGAATAAAAATCTATTAATTTACTCTTAAATAAACAACAATACGTAAAACAAAATTAAGTTAATCTTATCGTGGATTATCAATTACTTGACAAGTTCCTCTAACTATAAAAATACCGCCAAATTTCTNAAATTTAATGATTTAAACATTTAATCTCTTAATTCAATAAACTAATAATTAAAATAATAGGNTATCTAATCCTAGTCACTAATTAAACTTCTTCATAAAAATTTAAAAGCCTAAATTATCCTAAAATAAATATTTCACCAAATATTATTAAATTTTAATTAAACTTATTATATATAAACCTTAATCATTATAAAATTAATCAATAATTAATTTAAATAAATTAGTCTAACCGCAACTGCTGGCACTAATTTAATTTAACATAAAAATAAATTACTANCCATACTTTCATATGAATAAATTAATTAAAATATTAATCTCTTAACATATTATTTAAAATTAATNTTTATCTATATTATAATTACAAAACTAATTATTAAACAGAAATTAAATTCATATGATAAATAATAAAATATATAAATTAAGTA